TATCTATTCAACACTCTAAGTATTCTGCAGCACTGCTCTTCGTTAAAAAAACAGCTTTTCTCTACTAAGTTCTAACGCCGTTTCTAAAGAGTTTATAGCAAATAACCACACGTAAAGAACCACTACGCTATACTAATCAAAGTTTGCAGTGATCCACTACTTGTTCAAACTTTAATGTTGTTGTATTTGTATATTTAGGTTTGAAAACGAATGTGAAAAAGCACTAAAAAATATTTTGAACGTTACAAGTGACTATGTGTACGAAAATCAAGTGCACCAACGCAAAATGTATTAATTTTGTCGAAAGAAAATCAACAGTCTGGTCCTGCCATCGCCACAACCTTCGAAGACGATCCTCCACCTATGTCTTCTACACTGTTTTCAGCTCTTACTCAACGTCAGCAATCTTATCGTATTGTATTACTGTCGCGTGTAATTACAACAGCAACTTGTACTCATCCCCCATTAACTCAAAATTTACTATAATCATTTAGTCCAGCACTAGCGACACCATCCGTCTCTTCATCTTAACCACGCCAACCACCACAGCAGCAGCGAGTATCAAAACATTCACAAATGAATTCAAGAAAACGTTCAACAGTTGTCACCAGTACACCGGCTACTCCTTCCAATTCTTCTTGAACTTCCACCGCCACTACAATTGATCATATTTCAAGAAAAAAAGTTAGAATCTATGATGATCAGCAATGACGTGATGAATTAATAAATGGTAAATATTGAGCATCTTACTATCCTTTTGTAAAAAAATGAGCATGGATGTTGCTTCTGACTTTATACACCCACAATAATTCTTAAATTAAATTCCTTTTTTTGCTGCATATGACGGTTTTCGCAAACGCTTCTGCGCTAAAATTATTGATAAAAGTAAGAGCGGTTTTGAGTATAGAATGAATCGCTCCTTAGTTTTTGCAAATAGTTTAAATGAGACATGTCCTTACTAAGATGCGAAGGCTTTCTTTCAAAAGGTCTTGCGTCGAAAATTGCACTGTACACATCATATACGTCTATTATTAGATACGGAGGAGAGAAATCGAATATTCAAGTCATCTGATGAGACGAACTGGACGTCATCGAAACCGGTCATGGCAGCTCTAACTCACCCTCACCCTCAAGGCTCACTACTGGGTTATGATCTTCATCACACGATTCGACTCCATGAAAGCCTCCAACTACATAGCATAATTTGGATTCATTCGTCATTTCGTTACGCTTATCAACAAATGCACCGATTGGATTGAGTTGAATGTCACCAAAGTATGCTAAAACTTAAACATGCGAAAATCTATGAATTATTTCGAAGCCCCAAATGCTCTATCCCTAACAAAGAAAGCTTACTGCGTAAAAAGAATTCATTGATAAAAACTCTGGGCTGCTTACGATTGAAATGTACATAGTATTGTTATTAAACTACTTGTAGATGATGGAATGTGCTATGTTCATTATTTGCCTTCGTTTGCAGCCTTCGGATATTTATAAGTTGCGCGACATTCGGATAGATGGTGTAAATAAGTTATAGTAACTTTTCAACGGTGAAAAATCCTATAATTATAAGATTTGTGACAAGGTTCGCAGACACTGTCCCCAGATTCGCCAACGATTCTTGACGCAGGACTTCGTCGACTTTAATGAACAAGCATTATATCACATACTGACATCAAAGAAAAAAACAAGGAACGAAAAGATTTGGATGTAAGAAAAATGACATAATAAAATGACTTCAATAAAATCACAAAGATAAGCAGATACTAGCGAAGAAGCGAAAAGAATAAGTCGTAAACAAGAGAATGCAATAAAATCATTAAAAAATGGAGTGAATATTGTTGTCTCAGCAGTCAGGGGACGTTACTACAGAGAAAAATAAAAGCGAATACGTAGATACTAGGGGTAGTCGATTAGCAGGGTAAGACATGAAAATGCGCTTTTTATCTCTTCTTCTTATTGTTGTCACTTCTTTAAATCCAACATACGCATCTACAATCTCGCTGAATATACTTACACGGATTCAAGATCTTTCGCAAGTCAATCTTACGACCTTGCTGGATAACTCTTTATTTACCATGTGGAGACCCACTTATCATTTTGCTTCACCCAATTCATGGATGAACGATCCATGTGGTCCATTGTATGATTCAGCAACTCAAACTTATCACTTGTATTATCAAGTTCAACCTGGTCATGTACAGTGGGGAAATATTTCCTGGGGTCATGCTAAATCAAAAGACATGATCTTTTGGGAGGATGTCACGTCATGGAGAGGATATGATTACATTACCCTTGCACCTGGTGTAGGGAACAATCAAAGTGTACTTGGTGTTTTTACCGGTTCAACTTTGCCCGTCACAATTACTGGTGACTCAACGAACAGAACAATTACAGCCATTTATACAAGTGTAAAATATTTACCAATCAGTTGGAATGGTCCATATCTTAAAGGAAGTGAGACTCAATCATTGGCAGTCTCGTACGATGGTGGTATTACTTACCAACAATATGCCAATAATCCAATTCTAGCTTCGCCACCTGAAGGTATGGATGTCACTGGATGGAGAGATCCGAAGTTCAAACAATGGCCAGAAATAGATAATGTATTATATGGATCAAATCAAGGTCATTATTACATGACTGTCTCATCGGGTGTTCGAGGTGTCGGTCCACGACTTCTGCTTTATCGAGCTTTTGCCAATGACTTGACCAATTGGACTTATTTAGGACCTCTGGTTTCTGTATCGGGTAATTTTACGCTTAATGAAATCTGGTCAGGCTCTCTTGGCTATAATTTCGAGGTTTCTAATGCTTTCTCTATTCTTGAGAAAGCCGCTGATGGTGGAGATAATAAAACCATGCACTCTTTTGCCATGCTTGGTACCGAAGGAGGAAATACAACATTGCATCCATCTACGCATTGGTCTGTATGGATCAATGGAAATATCAGTAAGACGGGTAATGATAGTGTAACCATGAATATTATTGCATCTGGTGTTGCAGATTGGGGTGATACTTATGCACTCAACTCATTCCACGATCCAAAAGGAAACCGAAGAATTTTCTATGGGTGGGTTATGGAAGACAATAATAACTATGGGCAACGAGCCTTTGGTTATAATGGACAAATTACTCTTCCAAGAGAAGTTTTTGTTCAAGTATACCAGAATATTGTTAACATTAATCAATCTTTTTCTCGGCAAGGAGCTTGGATTTTGGTACCGAATAACGGTGGAACATATACATTTAAAACTCTCGGGGTTAGACCAATCAACGAAGTAACTAACCTTCGGCAAGGAAGCAATTTCATTAGTGTAATGTCTCAAACATTCAACCAAACTACAGAATTTGCAAGTCTCAATGTTTTCTCTTCCAATTTTGAGTTAAAAGCAAACATCGACATTTCTTCAAATACTACTGCTGGCTTTGTCTTTCGTAGATCATCCAACGGATTAGAATATACTACTCTTATTTATGATCCAGCTTCAGAATATCTCATTTTAAATCGAACATGCTCTTCTTTAATTACAGCATTTGGTCACAACACAATATATGCTAAACACGCTTTACTCACGACTCAAATCGATGAAAACAATATCCAGAAGGAATTTTTATCTTTGCATATATTTCTCGACAATTCCTTCTTGGAAATCTATGCAAACAATCGCACAGTATTGGCAACGCACATTTATCCTGCTCTCTCAGACTCTACTGGTCTTGGATACACAGTTGGTGGACAGGGCAGATCGGTTACATTCAGCAATATATCTATCTGGTCTAACTTGAAAAACGCATTTCCTAATAGACCAATAAACAGTTCTATTGCTTTGGCAGCAGATCCTAATAACGTGACTGCTGCGAGTTCTGTCTTGTCATGTAACTTTGGTTCTTTTAATTCATTTTTCTTCTTCGCTTTCTTTTCCTTATATGTCTCATAAGTTATACTAGTTTTCATTTTCTGATTTTTTCTTTCTTTAATTGTAGTTACTCTTATTATTTCTCATTCGCTGACTTGGTAGCTGTTCATCTACTTATCTTGTAACTTTCGCATATAACGGCGCCTAACGCTGATCATAGAATAAGTAGGGGTGTGATAGTTCAAGCTCATGAACTGCAGGAAGCTGGAAACGCATGTGAGCTGGTGATCAGCTCCAGCTTGTTTCATATTCAAAAGGGCTCTTACAGATGCTTAGAACATGATCAAAGAGAATGGATAGTGGCAGATAGACGAGGAGGACAAGAAAAATCCGAATATTATAGGTCAACCGGACGCTCTTTGTTAAGACTATATGATTATCTGTCCGTTCGATAAAGAAAAGCAGCAGTCGATGGCTCGAAATATAAAAGGAAGATAGTGTCGGAATAAGCGCACAAGGTCGCTCATTGCACTCTGACGATCGATGAGAATCATCCTTACTTACCTCATGATGCTGCTGGCATTTCTTGCCGCAAGCGTACAAGTTGGTGGTAAGAATTTTGTGCCACCAACAACTTCTCGTACACGCGCACCCCGTCCACCTTCAATCAGCATTGCACCTCGTGGCCAGTCGCTGCCTATTCTATGCTCCATGTGGTCATTACTACCTAAGAACTTTGCTATGTTGTTAGCCTCTACTGTATCTGTATCGTTCTTCCATCAATAAATCTGTTCACTTCATGATGAACTACGCATAATCCCGCGGCAACATTTATTTTTCAAAAAGGTTTCAGAAACTTGGTGTAAACGTACATTTGGTGAAATAACCTATTTATGTCAGTTTTGAGTAGAATTAAAAAATTAATAACCCAGTCAAGATTCATCCGAAGAATATCATGCTCTATTTATGTACTCTATTTTATCTGCTCTAACCCCTCTCCCGCCCCCCGCTACCTACAGGGGTATTTTCAAAAACATTTTGCCAAAACGTACTTCTCGCCTGCTGGTAGTCCAATGGTAACCTCACGTACTTGAAGTCCGTCCCTATTAGACGACAAAAATTTGACCGCAACAGAAGACCACCCTTTCACAGTGGGCATTCAGGTGGAAATTTTGAGCAAAAATCGAAAGTGAGCTTTTTTGAATTTGAACAATAGTAAATGTAGTCCTTGAAAAGCGCTATCGAATGGTGTATAATAATCGATTAGTATTGAACTCCTTCGATGAGTAAGTTACGTACGAACATTCACAAAAAACACAGCATCAAATATGACACATCTGCAAAGATTCTTATTTCTATGTACAGACGTGCAATATTACTCTATCCAAAGCACATATTCTGACTCAGCACAACCTATTGCATCTCCTGATAATAGAAGGTATTCCCTTTTGTATCTTGTACGAAACGAAAAAAATCTAGTAGTCTACATTACTACGGATCCTATGTTAGAGTAGGTCAGTGCAGTGACAGCGCTAAAAAGCGCTAAGCCCGAACAGACCTTCTAATTACATGAAAATGTTGCTCAGGATTTACCCTATCTACAGTGCAAGCCAACTTTTGTCAAAGTCGAGTTATTGATTTTCTAAAATCCATAGGGTTTTCAAGATATTTCGAAGTTTTCGTCCCCCTAAGAGGACTTTTTCTTTAATGTAAGGTCATATTCTGAATCAGCGTGAAAAGCTAAATCGAATGATGTATGAATCAAAAATTTTCTGCCGATATATTTGGATTTTGTCAAAATTCTGCCTGTAAAAGCCGTAGCGATGAAAATTTTTAATTGGCCTAAAAAAATGTATTTTAACAGCAGCCGAGAGATATATAAAAAATTTTCCTGTAGGTTTTCGTGTACGTTAATTCCAAAAAGGAGCTTTACAAAGTTCCAAAATAGTTTTTAAGCGGGTTTCCGGAGACCGGATCTTCAGAAAACTCCTTAAAAATCATCTTTTAACTTTAAAAGCCACTTTTTTAAAAATAGCACACCCGAAAACCTCTAAGGCAAATGTTTTGTAGAGGTCTGAATTGCTTTCTGACCACATGTCCGCCTGCTCTACCAAAAAATGCCCACTGTGCCTTTAGAATTCGGCTTGTGGACAAAATAGAAGACCAGGTGGTCTTCTATTATGGGGGGATATGTTTTTTTACTTGAGAATAGTAAAAAACATTGTACTTCGGAAGATTTCTAGAAAACATTTCCAAAAGCATTTTATGTTGACTTTTAAAGCATTTGTTGAGCTGTCCAGCAGTTTTGTTTTGGAGAAGATACTTTGGACTAACTATCTATGAAGAAAGATCGACCTATTTCTATGTCAGTTCTCAGAGATCCAAACTAGTTTTCCAAAGATCCGGTTAAAAACTGATTTCAGAATTTTTCTTAAATCATTTTTGCTTTTGGAAAGCGAGCCTCAGATGTCTACTGTGGACCTATTTCCTAGCTTTCTTCTGTCAAAAGTTAGTCAGAAAACGGCAACCTGCACAGTATTTTGGTACCGATAATAGTTCAGTTTGAAACTGAACTGGATTTTAATCTCAACTCTCACATATATGTGTAGGCAAACTTAAAACCTACCTAGCAAAACTAAAATTTTGACGAGAGATTTGCTAGGCAAAATTAAATTTTTAATTATGATTAGGCAGATTTTAAATTTTACTGAATTTCAAGTATGCCTACAACATATATATATCTTTTCCATATCTATATGCCGTACGAACGAAAAAGAACAAAGAAAGCGTAACGTCACTATACACTCCTAATATATATATATATATATATATGTTGCAAGAGAAATTAAAATTCAGTCAGTCCGCTGCCACCTGCCCATTCGGCAACGTTTGCCTGATTTGGCATATTGCCCGTTCAGACCAAATAGATATTGCTCGTTCGAGTAAGGTATTTTGCCCGACCAGGCAATTTTTTGTCTTTGCCTGATCGGGAAATATTACTCGATCAGACAAATTCTGAGGCAGATATAGTTGGCCAGTTTTACATGAAAACTCATTTATCCGACTGTTGAGCTCGAATGTTCGTTTTCTGAAAACTGCACGATATTTATGGACATCACGTGAAGGTTACGACGAATGACTGAGAGTCCAAAAACAGCAGTGATAAATAGAGAAGTTATAGACGAGATTGTTCTGTGTTATATGAAGTGAAAACCGGAACAAGATCGCTTGGTTCTAGCGATTTATAGCCGTCGATGAGTTTTACTGAATTTTAGCGCATTTTTGTACCTGTTTTTTGACATTATTATTACAGGTACCACATGTAATAATTGTGTAATTAAAAAAGTGTTCAACTTTTCATATTCTCCAGATAGCCTTCTCTCTCTTTAGTGAAAGAAAAATTCTAAGACATATATTTTTACTCGAATTATGTAGCATTTGATTCAATGACCTGAAGATGCTGTCATGAAATTCAGATCACTTTTAGCAAAGAATAAAGTGAAACTGGCTTGTGAATGATCCTCTTTTTTTCAGAACCCGTCCTCTTTGTCCTTTGCAGTTTTAGATATATCTGAGTGATTTTTTAAGATGAAGAATTTCAATACAGAAAATAAGCGATAAACCACCTTTATAATCATGAAAACAGACTATTTTCTGTTAGAGATGTTTTGTATCTTTATTCAAAAGACATCATATCATCAGTCAAATGTGACAGACGCGAGGTGATTTAAAATCGAAGATAAAATGAAATACATATATGTAAACCGCAAAATAGATAAAATACAACTTTTCCGTTTGTCACAATATATGTTGCCTGAATGCGTTCTAAGGAGCGTGTAATTCTAATTTTATATATGATTCGATAGAGAATTTGATGCTGATGACGAATATCGCCCTTCCAGTCTTCTCAGTGCACTTTTTCAAGTCGTTTCGAGTCGAAAAATTGAAAATACGGGAAGGGTCTTAAAATTCGAAAATCATGGCCGTTTTGAAAAAAGTTGAATACTTTTTCTTAGTTTTATTTTGAAACTCTCAAACAGTTTTTTCGAATTCAGCGTTGAAAACTGAATTAGAAAATGTGTTTTTGATAGTTCGCATATGTAATGTCATTGCACGAAAAATTCATCTTCAAGCATATCTTCAAAGCGGAGACCTCGTCGCAAAAGCCATCTACTTTTTTCTCGTAAAAGATGGAACGTTCGTCCTTGCGCCATTGATCGGCCTTTATTCGTACTAAAAAAGCATAACTCGGTTTTTTTGAATGATATATGATTCGAAAGTTTCCGCTGATTTTCATTTTTTGGTGAAAATCGCAGTAATTTTCGAAAAAAATCAAAGTGGACAAACCAAGAAAATTCGAAAAAAACAAAGGTGGTTGGATAGGATAAAAAGGTACGCCATTCGACTCAGTTTTTGACGCTGACTCCGAATATTGTACCTTTATTGCAAAAAAGTGACTTCTGGTGGAGAAAATTGAGAATTACAGGATTTTCGGATTTTAAGATCCTTCGCGTATTTTCATTTTTTCGCCGCAAAAAAATGCACTGGGAAGGCTGAAAGGGCGCTATTCGTCATCAGCATTAAATTCCCTATCGAATCAGGTGTAAAATAGTGCCTGATTTTTGAATTGCGCACGCCTTACATATATATATTTCATTTTATGGTTTATTCTGAATTATCTAAGGTGGCATTTTTTATTCGCCTACGAAGAAGGTCATCATCGTTAGAATGAAAGTCACATAAAATCATCCGTGCTGCTAGCCTGAGCGTAGAAGCTAGTCTAGAACAGAAAGACGTAAACAAACTGTCGTAAATAATTGATCCATAGTCTATAGCACTCATGATGCATGCCCGATAGATTTGTAGCTTAATTTCCGCTGGAGCATTTCTGAATATTCTATTCATCGCACATACACGACGTCTAAGCGAAATAACTACTCTGTATACATGAACATCCCAGCGAAGATTTGATGACATAGTACCCTTTCTACTTTGTGGATTTGTACTAGATTGTAAATTTCACAAGAATTTACAGTGAGTAGTGTTAGTTTGAGACTTGCATGAAAACTCATAACTTCCGATCAGTAGGTTATTCTCTGTACGTAAAGTTCAAGGTTCTCGAAAACTCATAACTTGGAATAGAATACGGCTGCAAACAAACCATTTTGTAGAGAAACAATTTGTCTACAAAAAAAAGACATATTACCCAAGTTTTTCCTATACTGCTATCAAAAATTATAACTTTAGGCTAATAGATAAAATAACTATTTCTGAGTCACTTTTGAAGCGGTAGCCGCATTCTGACCCAACAAATAAAAAAATAAGGATAAAAATGTTAAATCCATAATTAACGTAATGAATTTCACAAAATAACATATATGACACCGAAGTCCTAGATTAGCATCCTGAGATCACACATTATTATACTATTTAAAATACAACTTGTATGAATAAAACGCAAGAAAAACACACACTCTGTTCAAATATTTAGCCTATCTAAAATTTTGCAAATAAAATTATTGACGCAGAAATGTTTAGAGACTCATATACCTGAATACCACCCATTTCAACGAACAAATCATACAAATTGTTTGAATTGACATGACTAGGAACATCTTCAATAATAACTGAACTTGTTTTATAATCACATATCACAGTACCTCGATGAGCAGTATCTAACAAAAAAAAGGCGAGATTTATGCTATTATGTATTAAATGTCCGCAGTTTTTTTCAGAGACTATATAATATGACAATAGAACATAACTATATATAATAACAAACCTTGTGTAGCTGCAGTGACTATTGGCTTTGATAATGCAGAAGCAGAGGGAGAACACATTTGATTTGTTATACGTGGTGATAAACTTTGTTGGCAATGTGTCTTGAATGACAATTCTCGAGTAGAAACTTCATGATCTATTGATTCAGGTGGTACAACTAATTCTGGTGGTTGTTGAGAATGTGGTTTTGTTAAAGCTGCTTCTTCTACATGAGAACTTCCATTATCGCTTGATTGACCTGTTATTATTGATTCTTTTAAAGCATGTATAGATCATGATTGTTCTGTCATTGCATTATTTGTTGCTGGAACAAAAAGGACTTCGTAGATCATCGCTTTGTTCATTAAAACTGAAGTCTACAGAACTGAATATAAATTGTTTCACCTGATTGTTTATTAAAACAAGCACGTAAATTTTCAACATAAAGATCACATTCAGCTTTGCTATCTATAAAATCAAACAGAACATGAAAAGTGTAGTTAGTCATTCTGTAATAAACAAACAAAACTACCATAGTTTCAACTACTATCTTCAAATCGGAATAATACAGTAGTCAAATAGATAAACAAACAATTGTTAAAAAAAAGAAAAGAAAAGAAACAAAGAAAACGGAAAAAGAAAGGAAAGGGAGGGAACAAATATTAATAATTACACTATTAATCAGTTAATAATAATTGTTCATAAAATGATTATTTATATTCAATATTGTTCATTAAAATATCATCTATTATTAAAACAATTGTCAAAAGTAATTCTAGTGGTTGGAAATTACTATATGAAAATAAATTCAAAATTATTATACAATAAATCAATAATAAAAATCTATATTTAAATCATCAGCATCATTCAATAAATTATTGATAAATTAATCTGTAGAATCTGAAAACATGAACTTTTAGGGTTGAGATTTAGAATTTACTCGTTCATCAAACTGTATTAACGATATCCCTATTGGCACCAAGAGTAACACAATTATTTCATCAACTAAACGATACTGATAAACAATTACTCACAGATACAAATAAATTTAATAAACAACAATCAGAACCAGATGAAATACGTGTATCAACCTTAACCCTTTACCCCCGGATGTCCATACCCGTGGACACTGATAAAATGGATATACAAAAATAACGAAGCGTCATATCAGAATCGGATTTTGTTCCAACCTTAGAGACTTCATAAGCTCTCGATTGATGCAGATTGCAGATAACCATTGCTGCAAGGATCCTTTCTATAATTACACAAGAAAAGAAATTCTGTGAAGTTGTCTTGATGCACCACGTCCAGTAATGAAATGTCCACACCTGTGGACATTAGGGGGGAGTGACATAGAAAGTACTAATTTTTAAACATATACACATTCTTTCTTTCTCTTCTTTTCTTGTAAGGTGAGACTTTTATTTTTTGCTTTTTTGCCATGGTTTGATAGAGCATATCGAGTTGTATAGGAAAAACTTAATCCCACCATTCTGTAACACATTTTTCAGTTAAAAAAATTTTAAATATCGAGTTTTCAGAAATATGCGAAAATAGGCAAAATTTTGAATAAGACTCAAAATTCAACCATTCATTCTATTTTTAAAATTCCAAAACAATTTTTTTCTTACTCTCCATCAAAAACTGGGTCTAGCAAATGGATTCTGGAAATTTTGCAACTCAAATTGACTTCGAGAACCGTTCCGAGACGAGCAGGATGGTAAAAGGTCCGCTGGCTAATCTTGCAAGCATATCTAGTCCTAAGATTTGGAAGATAAAATTCTCTTTCATACTTCATTCTCACTGATATACTTATGAGAAAAAAAGTATGCATCGGTTTTGAAAAAGTTTAATTGGTTGCCGAAAAATTCAATTTTTATGAATTCAGTATGAAAAAGTCTGCAATTGGACCTGTACTTTGTCATTTTGACAAAAACAAGGTTATATTCGGATTCAGGGTGCAGAACTGGATCGAATGTGTCAGGAGTTTTGAATGACCTCGAAGTTTTTCGTTTTTTTCAAAAATCCAAAACCAAAATTTTCAGTCAAACTCCGGATATTTCCCAAAACACTGAGACCCATGTCATTCGATCCAGTTTTTGATCCTGATCCCGAATATAATCTTGTTTTTCTCAAATTGTTGAATTTTGACAGAACAAGTTCGGATACACAAAGAAAAAAAATTGCGTTTTTCGTGTTGTTCCCCCTAATATCCACACCTGTGGACATTCTGTATTCTATCTTAATATATGTTCCCCTCAGGTGCCACGCAGAGGGAGTGGGAGAGTAGGGGAACAGGGTGACTGGAGAACGAAGGAGTCACCTATTCTATCACTCCCCCTATTTCCCTATTCTCGACTTCCGCTATTCTTTCATTCCCACTCTCGCCAATTCCCAGCTGGCTTCCAGTTCTCGCATTTCTATCAGATAGTACCCGAGGGGGTGGGGAGGGAATTGACAACTATGCTTGATTTATCAAATGTTCAAATCAGCATCTATTAACTCGGTGAAATTAATTCAAATTAGTTACAAACGTAAATATAAAAACAAAACTAGGTATAGGCTAAAATCGATGTTTTAAACAGCATAAATAGTCATTTAATGAGCAGTTTGTTGTTGACGAATTATCAGTACAATCATTTATATTTGTTTCTTTCCTTTATCTTTCTATTTTCGTTTTCTTTATTTTTTTCTACACGTCTTTTTGTTGTCTAATTAGCTATAATAGTATTCTGACTTGAAAATAATGTCAATGTCTGAATAAAAATTAATGTTTTAAATCATTCAGCTGCACTAATTTCATCGCTTCTAAATGAAATTTTGCTCATCAGTACAGATTATAGTCGATATTGTTTTCTAAAAGTGATTCTTGATAAGGAAAAGAGTACCACTTGTTGAAGTTGAAGTAGATAATGAGGATCTTTTGTTTTGGAAGCATTTCTTATCCAAATTAATATTATATTCGTAACACACGATCGGCATCGAATGAGAAACAAATTTTGTGAGTAACTGCGCTAGTAACTTCATTTTTTGATTGGTCTCTTTTCTTATCACATTATGCAACACAACGAAAAACTTTATTTAAACACTGGGTTACTCACTTTCTAGAACGATTTTTCCTTTACGACGTGTTCTATTCATATCAAACACATATTCTTGAAACATATTAATTTTTCCTCTAAAATTTCGAAGGTTTACTGTTGGTACTGCCTCAATTTCCTGAGAATCAATCCAAGATACAACCAAATAATCTTTGTTTGTTGTTATTGATGATTCTAAACAATAAAAAGCGTTTTACTCCGATCATCAGTTGAAGTATAAATTCTAGAGAAATATGGGCAAACTTAAACAATACTAAACATCTTTCGGACCAAACATCTTACAAACACTCTTTAGCAAAAGATCATAATTGTTCTGAAGGACACAACTTCACCATATCAGTACCTTCGTCGCCTTCTTTAACAATCAAAAAGACCGCAAGGCTAACAAACAAAATCAGAAGAATTACCATTTTTCCGTGTTCGTTTTGCACTCTGATCGCCAATTACACCAACTGTACTAACAGCAGATTCTAAATAAAAACAAATATTGACAACACACAAGCAGACCGAATTGCTCACTTTCTTTAGATTATTTTACATACAAACACTATCTTTTCTTTTCCGGGTCGTCTTATTCTTAGCCATGGCTAGCAAGAAAGCTAATCTAAAACAAAACTTCCTCATTAACAAAGCTCACAACAGAGAAATAAAACTCTATTCAAACCAATACTCTAATTACAAAAATAAATCCGATCTACAAACAAAAAAGTTTCGCAATAATAAATTACTATTCAAAGACAAAATTCAGCCTAATCTAAATCGCTTTTCAAAGACAAAACTTTGTTTGAATAAGGAAATAGAATTAGAATTAGAAGGAAAAAAATCGTGTGCATAGAAAAACAACGATCCAAAACGGTAAACAAAACAAAATGAAAGTAGAATTTCAAATAAATAGTCACCTTTCAAACGCAAAATCTAATTTGAATAACGATATAGAATTTGATTTCATTCTTCATCGACAAAATGTTATATAAAATAGTAAAGAAAATTTCATAAAATCTATTTTAGACACAAGACTAAACTTTGAAAGGTAGAATTTGAAGAGTTATCGATTCTCGATGGAAAGGTGGAATTTGGAATACAAGCTGTTTATGACAAATAAACATCAAAAACAAAGATCAACAACTGCTGAGAAAATGGTTGATACGCGAATAAAGCGAACTATTAAACCTTGGCAATAACTAATTCAGAAGAAGTGTGGTGGAGTTCTGATTATAACAATGTTAAAACGATGAGAATAAGGTAGCGTAACTAATAGCCTCTTAACATAAACGGAGACGATTTTATAAATCTCGGAGATGAACGTATATTATTCTTGTCATTTCAAAAAAACTTAGCTTTTTCTCTGCGTAATGGCAACTAGTTTTTCACAAGCAAAGTTTCAAAATAAAAATTTAAAAAGTGGAAGATTAGTTTAATACACGAATGTTCCTCCCATATAGAGCGAGCAGAATATTTATTGTCTAATAACAGGAGTAGCACAACAAAATCCAATAATGGACACGTATAATTGAATAGACTAGACTGATAATAGTCCAACACAACGAAGCTGTTGACTCTATGACCAACATACTTTGCGTGTAAATCACGCTGACATTAGCGATTATTGATAACTTCGTTTTTTTTGACGCAATAATAGGCAAAGACTGGTAGCCACCATGATATCTGTATTACGGACTCTTTCTGTCACTAAATTTGTTAAGGTCAATCTTTAAAATTGAAAATGCTGAGACGCTGCACTGAGGAGAAAAGGCGGTCAAACTTTTACGCTACTTTCTTTATCATCCATTTGTCTGTTACAAAAGAGGCCACTGTTGGTCCACGTACCCACTTGTGAATCATCGTTGTTTTTTCTTACACTGATTTCAATATATATAGAAACTGAAAAGTGTGCATAACGAGGCTACTTCTGGGAGTCGGTACCTCAGTGTGATACTTCCATTGTGGCTAGCAACATGAGGGTGAGGTGTGCACGGCTACAGCAGTTCAGTGAATAGCGGTTGACGGGCATAGTTCTCATGTCCTGTTACCATAGAGTATTCTGACTAGTTCGAGCGCCAAATTTTCTCATTTCGAGAGCATCTCATCACATGTTCATATAGCGTGATGTTCCATTACATGCAACAGAGGTTACCTTATCGGAATAACTGACTCAAGAAAAAACACCAAATTTTTTAATTTTTTTAACTTTAAAAGTTCAGTGCAAATCTTTTCTGCGAATAATTCGGTCTCAAAGCGTACATCCTCAATAACTTATCTGAAAAGTAAGTTATATCTCGGTAAGATCGTTAATTACTTGGTTTTCACATTCACATGGGATACCATATACTGCACATATAGGTATTTCTAATTTTAGTTTATCGGTCTTTGCTTTTGTAGCCCGTGAAATTCCCTGTCGAATGGTGTATGAAATGGACTGGTTAATGACCGAATAATGGAGAATTTTTGAGATCAATGACCTTGACCCGCCCGTTTGCTGAGTTGCTAACGAGTATTTCCAACCTTGGACTACTCGGACACAGCTCCTTAACAATATCTCATGTATCATTTTGTGGCCCGTGAAATTCTCTATCGAGTGATGTATACTAGTTGATACTTCCTGTAGGGGAAAGAGTTAGGCGAATTAAATTGCTTTGAGCAATTTCGTTTAAAGCAAGAAGGTTTTAGTTTGGCAAAAGGCTTCCCGAATAATGACCGAATAATGGAGAATTTTTGACATCAATGACCTTGACCAAGGTCATTGATGTCAAAAATTCTCCATTATTCGGTCATTAACCAGTCCATTTCATACACCATTCGATAGAGAATTTCACGGGCTACAAAAGCAAAGACCGATAAACTAAATTCCACATTCAACAATTATGTTTATCAGAAAAACAATGATCAGTAAATTTGGTTTCCTATCGTACATTTAGTAGTGTATTAAGAAATGTGCGTTATCAATCATACAAATATAAAGAAAACAACGATGTACAACCTAAATGCACTTTTAGGAATATTTTTTCTTTTTTTCTGGTATGTACATATCAAAAGAAACGTAAAAAAATTGTGCTCTATATGAGGTAGAAAAAATATGTACATACTCAAAATCTCTATGGAAAAGAGTACTCTTCTACGGGTTACCGCTTAAGGCGGAGAGAGGGGGAAAGAATCCCATCGGGTCTTTTTTACCAGTTTGTAGAGGATATTTCGGAGTATATGTCCCAACAAAGCTTTCGGTTCCCGGATTTGTGATTTTTTGATAAAAAGATATTTACGACGATCTTTTAACGACTTTTTGCGCTATTTTTAAAATTCAAATAAAACCTTCAGTTTTTTAAATGAAGAGTTGATTCTAGCGTAGTTCGATAGAGAACATTAACTGATATAAGGCGAAAAACTTTTCATCGTTTCCGAATGAACAAAAGCAAAGACCAATAAACTAAATTTCTAAATTTAAGACCTTCTAAATGTCTAAATTTCTAACTTTCTAAAATACTAGGTTTCTACATGTCTAAATTTCTATCCTGCTGAACTTCTCGATGCCTAAAGTTCTAAATTGCTGAAGTTCTAAATTTCTAAATATCTAAATTTCGAAAGTTCTGGACTTTTAGCTGCCTAAATTTCTAAATTTATTAGCTTCTAAATGTCTAAATTTTAAAGTTTCTAAATTGCCAGCTTTCTATATGTCAAAGTAGAATAGCCTAGAATATTCTTGCGTAATAAGCTTGAGTATGATCTTCTGCCTTATGGCACGACTCTAGTAACTGACATAAGATTTACATGTCTAAATTTCTATCCGGCTGAACTACTAGACGCCAAAAGTTCTAAATTCCTGAACTTCTAACTTTCTAGATGCCTAAATTTCTAAATTTAGGAGGTTCTCAATTTTGTCTAAGTTTCTACGTCTAAAGGACGGGGACGATAAGACCGCAAATCGGCCACTACCAAATCCATTATGCAGTAACTCATCTGATGCAGTTTTTCTTGCCCATTAAACCTATCATATTTTTAGACAATCAAAATCCTTTCACGAAGTTCACGAATTTAGAACTTTTGGCGTGAACTTCAGCAGGATAAGAAACTTTGACATATAGAAAGCTGGCAATTTAGAAACTTTAAAATTTAGACATTTAGAAGCTAATAAATTTAGAAATTTAGGCAGCTAAAAGTCCAGAACTTTCGAAATTTAGATATTTAGAATTTTAGAACTTCAGCAATTTCGAACTTTAGGCAACTAGAAGTTCAGAAACTTAGAAATTAAGAAATTTAGTTGTTTAAAAGTTCACAAGTTCAGTAATTTAGCATCTAGAAGTTGAGAAGTTTAGAAATTTAGACATGTTGGAATCGAGAAATTTAGAAGCTTAGAAATTCGGAAGTTCAGAACTTCAGAAATTTAGAACTTTAGGCATCGAGAAGTTCAACAGGGTAGAAATTTAGACATTTAGAAGGTCTTAAATTTAGAAATTTAGTAAGTCACAAGTTCAGAAGTTTACTAATTTAGAAATTTAGGCGTGTAGAAGTTGAGAAGTTTGGAAATTTTGAAGCTCCTAAATTTAGCAAGTTTAGGTATCTAGTTGTTGAGAAGTTTAGAAATTTTCAAGAAATTTAGACATGTAGCAAGCTGGCAATTTAGAAATTTCGAAGCTCTTAAATTTTGAAATTTTAGTAATTTACAAGTTCAGAAGTTCAATAATTCAGAAATATGGTTATCTATTCAGAGCCGGCATAGATTTAACATCATCATTTAATATACCATACGAAGGTGCAGCTCGAGTAGTATAAGTGCTGATACACAAAACGTAGCCTGCTACATTTAAAAGCGCAGGTCAGCTCTCACAAAATGGCCGAAAATAGTTGGCCATTGGCTGAAATAATATTTACTGCGAATGCCGACCGAACGGAGGCATGAGCATTGTCTGGTTGTTAGAGGTAGTTTTAGACCTCTGGGAACCGTTGAAGGGTCGAGAGAAAACTTTTTAGATTTATATCAGATTGCGCAGCTTATACATCAAATCAGAGAGATATTCATAACATATTGTGGATGGTCGACTAGCGAACACCGATCGAAGGGAGCTGTGAGCCTTGTCTTTGATTCAAGGTTAAAAAAGACGAATTGGTTCTTCTTATCAACAGACTATGTACCTGTATGGATGAAGAGGACGCTAAGTATCGCTCAGAACATGAAAAGTCTTCACACAAAATATCTGCTACTACCAAAAATCAGTATTGTAAGCACGTCCTTGAACAAAATGATTTTTTGGTGAAAAGCATATGTGATCAGAATGCTTCTACAATAAAGATTCTACAAACAACGTTGAAAACTAACGACTTGACACCACCACCTGCTGGCTCATTAAACAATCTATTGTCTGATGGACGTTCGTCTAACGATACAATAAATTTAAGACCAACGACAAACCATTGTCAGTCAACAGTATCGCTTTCTCAACCTGCAACACAAAAGCGTATTATTAAATTGACAGTGTTTGGCGACAGTACCATTACACATTTGAATGCAAGCCACATTCATGTACCTTGTCGTTCTGCTGTTCAGCTCCGTTCTGGTTGTCCAAATTTTGATCATCTATCAAGTCAAGTTCTTCATGATAAATTGAAGACGGATATAACGAGCCGTTCCCTGGTTGTAGTAGGAACAAATAATTTATCATCGTCAGACACCGTTGATACAACCATCGACAAACTGAAGCTCTTCGTTTCAATTTTTAAAGAAAAATACAATGGCAAAAGCTCATCATTGCTACCGTCCCACTACGTCGACATATCGGTCTGAAGAAAG